TTATAGAATTAATTAATGTTTAGGAAAAATGAAACAAAGCTCTCAGTTCACCATGCTTCCACATCTTAAGCCAAATACGCTTACCTTTTTTGGGTTTGCAGATGGGCTGGGGAAAAAGGTAAACTAAAATTTTCCCGGGAGCAAGTTACGTTACGGAACGGAGGGAGCCTCGTGTCCCCAGCACCCCGGAGACTCCTCCAGAACCATTTACATGCACACCGAGTGCCGCCCACATGAAGTTATGCCATAACAAAGACGTTGCACATAGGACTACTTGGATATGCATAAAACTATGCTACATTGGCACTAAAACAAACAGCAAATGGCGAGGGGGATGGGCAGCCGGAGTGGGGATTGGGATGCGGATGGATATAAGGACGAGAACGAGGACATGGGACCAAGTGTGGGTGTGTGTATTTAGCAATGTAAAAGATGCTGTGTGACAAGATGATGACGATGCTGATGAAACATGCCAAGGCAAAGGTAAAGCCAACTCGGTACCTGCAGCCAGGGCTGGACTATCGGAGTAGAGTCTCGGAACTGAACCCAGAAACTGGAATCCAAAGACTTTTAATTGTATCAAATAAATTTAAACAATTTAAATAAAAAAACAAAATAAAACTTTAGACTCTAAAAGTTTTCGTTAAAGTATATTATAAACTAAAGCTCCTTAAGAATTTAAGCGATAAACTAACCGAAAACAACTTCTGAAAACTCAGTGCATCATTTAATAATAAATAGTGAAAAATAAAGCCATTGAAAGTTTTAAACTTGACTACCAAAATATTCATCTAAAGATAAAAGTTGATAAAGTGAATCAATTTGCGAATGGAACTAGATCAAAGGGTCATTCAGCTCGGCGCCCCCGGTTTGACTTCCTTTCTATCCGATCCACTCCCCGAAAGCTTTTATGTTGGCTAAGTAAATGTTTAAAATATTTGGGTTGCCTGGCTTTGGCTGCTGCTGCATATACTCGTAGCTGAAGTTTTGCGCCCAAAATTATTAAGATGAGTGGCATAAATTATGAGCAGACCAGCAGCAGCAGGCCGAGCGCAGGACTCGTAAAAGCCGCTGGCATGTAATCCTTGGGGACTGGCCTCGCAGGATGCGGAGGGGGCGGATTGTTTGATGAGTGAATGACTAACTGCATGACAGTTTAGCCACCATGTATATATGTGTGTATATATGTATGTGCCCCAGTGCTGGGTTGATCACTTTAAGTATTGACAACGTTGGACTGCATGGCGTATACGTAATGTGGGTGGATGGCAGCGTGTGCTTGTGGTCGTGGTCGGGGGCCTCTGGCAGTTAGTTTAATATTTATTTAATTTAATATGCTAATTGGATGTGATCTGGGTGTGTACGTGAGTGTTGGTATGCTGCAACTTTACGAGCGAACAATTCATAAATAAATGAAGGCGTCGAAAGTTTTCACATGTCAACGAATTGAGTTTGTGCTTGAGTTGGCTGCCTCGCTCGTCGCTGCCTTTGGCGTTTGCCATTGCCTTTGCCTTGGCAAACTACTGCGGCAATGACTTTTATAAATCGTTTATAAAATTTGCCACCAAAGACGGAAAACGCTGTCAGAGCAACTTCTGCCGCAAGTCGGCTGCCACAGGCGACGACAAATTGTTTTTGCGATAAAATAAGACAAGTGACACGCGGCCCTAATCGTTTAGGGGCAGTGGGCGTTGGGCGTTGGACTGTGGGCTTTGGGCGTGGCCAGTTGCAACCTAAAAGGCTGCCAGTCCGTTAACGTTAATTATATTAGAGTGACTGAGCCAGAAGGACACAGGACACGGAGCACTCTCTCGAGCCAGAGCCGAGGATTATTGTGAAAAACTTTCGCCTGACCGTTCCAGAAATTGCATTTAAAGTGCGGAGAGGAAACGCTCCCCACTGCCCTCAATGTTTTGCATTCTGCAATCAAATTGAATTTGTCAGACGACATAAATAAATGGTGAATCAAACGAATTGCAAACTCTGCTGTCAGCGGGAAATGGAATTGCATGCCAAAAAGTATGCAATGAATTATACGTGAGCAAGGCAAAAAATAAAATGTTACAACTCAAAAATAAACCCCCCTCGCATATTGGGAATAAAAGAGAAATCTTTAAAAATACATTTATTTGTATACATAAATATGTATAAAAAATTGGACAGCATTGGGAAATATTTTTCACAAATTAAGGAGTAAATAAAATAAAATGGTTTCGGGAAAGTGTGCTGCAGGATGTGACATGGCCATCGACTATTGGAAAGTTATAAATTGGACTAACTTTATGCAGCAGAATCGGAATTAAAAGGGATTTGAGAAAATAATAATCTCTGGAAACCCTAGGAAACCCTAAATGGGATGTAGAAAATAGTTCTAAGAATATTTATTTGTTTTTATTATGATTTATTATTTCAAACACTTAAGAGTTTTCAGTTGTCATGTTCCGTAAGTGATTTCATAGCAAGATACATATTGCCAGTAAGTCAATCTATTTTTGAATGAAGATGCAAGGACCCTGTTGTTGCTGCAGAGCATCCAACTGACTCATAAATCCAACTTCCCCTTTGTTTATCGCCGCTGCGAATGCTCTCTTTCCCTGCTGTATTTTTCATATGCGAAGCTCGAATAATATGAATTTAAATTGGAGCTATGAAACAAAAAATGTGCAGCGGCGGGGAAAACAAAAGGAGCGATGGCAGCAGATCGCTGAACTGTGAAAAGTAGACGGGAAGTAGCGAAAATGATGCACACGCACACACGCACACAATGGGAAATGTGAAAAGCGACAAGCTGGCAAAGTCACTCAGTCAGTGGGTGGGCGATGGGCGGCTGGCAGCATATTGAACTTGTCAACATGACAGGGGAGCGGAACCGAGGCCAAGGAAGCTGAATGAATGACTGACTCACTGAATGGCGGGGCGAGAGTGTGTGCGTAGAGTGATTTCCGATAGTGTATGCAAAATAAATTCACACTCGCAAAAAATAAAAACACAAAAAGCCAAGGAATAGGTATCAATTCCTAAATAAAATTTTTCAATTTTGATTTGAAGCTCAGAGCCAAACAATAGGGATTCTATTATATACCGGAAAGATAAGCTTATTATTTCTATTTGTCATTTAACTTCATTAACAAGATCTCTTTTTCTTGCCGTGCACCCGAAACCATCCCGTGCAACGTATGGTGTTCATCCTCAGGCGTAAGGATCTTTGGAAGCGCGACTTGTTGAGCTGAGCCAGCGTTACTCCGCCATTCCTTTTGTGTTGCCGCAGTAAGAAATTGCAATTGCTTTGCGCAAACTGACATTGACAGCCCCCGGCGGGGAAACTCACCCCCCACCCCCTCGAAAAAAGGGGAATACTGCGGCTGGCCTGCCACTCCGTTGCCCATCAATTTGAATGACATTCACAAACAGCCAGGCAGCCAGCTCGCAAAAAGGAAAGAAATTTCTGTATGCACGACGAACAAGAAATTGTGACATTTGTATAGAAATAGTTTTGCAATTGTAGCAAATAGTTTTGCAGACATTTTTTGATTGCCGCATACTTTAAGCTTTTTCCAACGGGGAGAGCCAGTCAACCGGAATGGATGCCTGCAGCTCACAACTGGAAGAGTGCTGAGAAATTGTTTTGGCTGGAACTGGAATTTTTATCAAAGATCCTTGGGGGGCTCTTTACTCCTTTACTTTGTTGTGGTCTTATAAAAATAAGAATCTAGGCAAAGTGTGGCTTTCTTTTGTTTATTTTTACAAGAAAATGTATTTAGTACAGATTAAGTTAAATAATTGTGAGGTGGGTTTTGTTATAAGCCAATCCTTTAAGTCAATTACAAGATTAATTATGGCTGACCAATATTCAGTTTAAAATGAATTTTTTCTTAAATTCTGCCTTAAGTAAGCTTTAATATTTAATTAAAAAAAATATACATTTAGTGTAGATAAAGTTAAATAATTGTGGGAAGGGTTTTCCTATAACCCTATCCCATAAGCTATTTCCAAGAAATTAAAAAAAAAACCTTTAAATGTAATTTAGTTGCCTTGAATTCTGCCTTAAGTAGGCTTTAATATTTCTACCAGTAATTATTCCGGCCCGAATGGCATTAAATGAATTATATTTCTGAGAATTATCTTGGTTCACTTACTCGGCCTCCGGCTTACTTTAAATGGTGGCTTTCACATTTTAAAAACTTACCGATTATGCCGGCTTACAGCCATATACCCTTCATTACCGACTTATGCATTTTCATGCCCCCCTGAACGAGCTCCACCGACGATGTCGGCTTGCTCACGAGTTGGCATCCGTTGCTTGCGCATTTGCAGCATTTTCCAAAGGTTAATTTTCCAGTTATCAAATAAAAGGCCGGGCATACTCCCGTGCCCATGGCAAAAGCAGTGCGAGTATATGCGATGTTGGATACACATGCTTGGCAAATAGTTCTGACAGGCTTCGGGGGCGAAGGAAGGACGAGAATCGGGAGTGAAGCAGGGAGGAAGTGGAGCGGTTGCAAGCCGTTGGCATCCTCTTATGAACGGGTATTTTCCATACACTAAGAAAATATATTTTTATTTACCACGATCCACGAATTGTGGTTAAGTTCCTAATTCATTCGATAAATGTGTTTTATTGTAATTGTTGTCTAAACTTTAAAATCCTTGAACATTTTTAAATATTTATAATATAAAATATGATTTACATTATAAATTAAGGAGAAAGCATTCAGGTTCAAAATTAAAATTGCATTATTTTAACAAAGTTATTTTTAAGGAAGGTATGGTTTCGTTTCCTTTACAAAAATCTTACGTTCCTTATAATTTCAGATTTACCTTTTTTTCAAGAATAAAATAATACGAGTTTTTTTATATACATTTTGCTCTCTGCATAACATTTATTTTGTAATAATTCCTGCTTTAACCTTTTTGGCATGCAGCTTTTTCCATGCGAATGTGCCTGCGTTTTAGCTGCAAAAGGGGTTTATAGGGGGGAATGGAAAAAAAAACGAGCTCTGTGCATTTCAGCATTTTGCTTGGCTGCTTTTGGGCCAACGTTTTTATTATACCGTATTTTAATTTTCGTTTCCATCAATTTGCTGAAACACTGCATTAAACTAGGAAATTGTCTTAAGGTTAAATTGTCTTGAATTTAATTCTTCTTCTCGGTTAGATTGTATATTTGCTTGGCAACATCGGATAGCTGAACATCAATGGCCTTGGTGTCATCGTACAGAGACGGAGCCTCGCCCAGGATCACAAAGGTGCCGACCAGGGAAGCGATCATGAAGAGCCACAGGAACAGACGATCCATAACCATGGCCACAAAGCCCCAGTCCTGGTCCTCCTGCAGAGTGTATTAAAGGAGAAAAGCGATAATTAATAATGGCATCAGGACATACGTTTTTCTTTAAAAACATATATTTTTTTTTAATGGCATCAAGATGAATTTAAGCAGCGCCCAATTACTTCAAATAAGCCTGCACTTAATCTTAGTCCATAATTGAATATTTCGTACTCTTCCTCTATAACCAAAAGCCCGCATGCAGGCCGGGTTAATTGCGCTTTAAGCCAACACTTTGAGCGATTGGCTTTCCTTAAGCAGTACGCTTAATCTACTTATGCCCGGCATCAGTTCGGTTATCAATCAAAAGGCGAAATCGCAGCGGCAACAAAGCAAAGCCCGAAAAAATAAATGGGTGAAAAAACAAGCCAAACAAAGGGAAGAGCAGGAAAATGCGGGAAATTTTGGGGGCGAATCGGAAAAACGAGGAGGGCACACGCCGCCGCAATCACACAACAAAGAACATTTCGATTCGGGTTTGATTGAAACGTTTTGCCGCACCCGCTGCCGCTGATGAAGAGATGAAGTGGGTGGACTGGGCTGCTCTGGACTGGCTTGGAGCCGAGGGCCTCGCCGATTGCCAGTCAATTGAACAAAAGCAATTAAAAGTGGATTTGCCGGGGCGGTCTTAAAGTGCAAATATGGCAAAAGCTTAAATAAGTCGACAAAAGAAAAGGAATCTAGTGCCGGCCAAAGATCACACACACACACACACGGAGTAGCCGGCCGGATGAGCTGAGCCGGGAAATAACTGACCAGGACACCAGTGGAGGACCGGCAAAAGCGATTCTTGCGGTTTTCCTGCTCCGGCTGCCCCGTAGACACAACCGGAATTTCCAATTAAAAATTCAATCAGCTGCCGGACTCAAACTCGGAGCCGGACTCCGGCTCGCACTCACCGCATTGAACTCATCCTGGCGCTGCATGTGATGCTGTATGAACATGACGTTGTGTATGGCCTTCTCGAGCTCAAAAGGATACTTTTTGCGTGCGGCCACGTCGCTCAGAGAGTCGTCCAATCCGGATAGCACCGATGGCAGTCCGTTGTAGCCGCTCAGGGTGCTCAACCCGCCACCCAGGGCGCCCACCAGGCCGCTGAATCTGTAAGTATAGAGAGGATGACAGGTCATCAGACAGGATATGCGCATCAGACTACAGTTGTAGTCGCTTAAAGAGTATTAAGGTTGCTAATTATCATATTATTAAATACTTAAATTCTCCAAATAATTTATTATTTATGAAATCTCGTTCTAATAATTCTCTTAATATAATTCATAAAATATCGCTGGAGTATCTCACCTGTTTGTGGCCGTGGTCACGTGCATGCCATTGCATCCGCCCGCACCCACACGACCTTGCATGCGTCGCAGAGAGTCCGGACTGGAGCCGCCGGAGTTCATCTGCATCTCGTCCATCAGCGCCTGTCCAAACTTGGTCTTGCTGAACTTGAGCCCATAGTTGATCTTGTTGGCCGCCAGGTCGCGAAGCAGGTCCTTCGGGACACGCATTAGCAGAAGCTTGGGCAGCCGCTTGATGAAGAAGGAACGAATCCAAGGCCGCATCTTGTGTGTGCTTGGCTTCCGGTAGTGTATATTGAGTATGATGATCGTGATGACGACGCTCAGCCCGACCAGCAACATGGTGAATAGGAGGTACTTCCCCAGCAGTGGCAGTGCCAGGGACGTGGAGGGTATGATTTCCGAGATGAGAAGGAAGAACATGGTCTGCGACAGGAGAATGCTGATGCAGAGGGCAATCTTTTCACCAGAGTCGGCGGGCAAGTAGAACACCAGCACCGACAGGTAGGAGATGCCCACGCAGGGAATGATCAGGTTGACCGTGTAGAAAAGAGTCTTTCGCCGCAGGGTGATATTGAAGAAGATATCTGAACAAGCCAGTTCATTTCAATTCAGTAGCCAGAGGACATCACCAGAGAAATCGAGGGATAAATACAGGGAGTAGGGTAGAAATTTTCAGGGGATGAGTTTGGGTAGAGCTTTCGCGCAATTGCCGGCGATTGGAGGCTTTAAACTCCACTAAACTCACCCGGATAGGGCTCCGCGCAGCACGGATAGTACTTCTCGTGCCGCTCCGCTGGCACGCCAAGGATGTCCCACTCCACGCTGGGATAGTACTCGCGCAGGTCGATGCCAATCTCCACCTTGTTGTCCTTGTCGTTCTTCTGGCTGATATGCTTCAAGTCGATCTGGGGAAGGGGAATATGAGAAAAGGCCCGGATGTGATGGAGCCGTTAGGGCAGCCCTCTTTCCTGTCCAGCTCAAAGCCACTTGGCATCAATGGGCGTAACAGCCACAGCAGAAGCAGCATATCTGCCTCAGCTCCTTCTCCTGCTCCTCGAACCAGGAGCTCAAGTGCACTCCTTAAAAGAGTGGCGAAATTCAAATGCGTTGACAAACGCCCGGTGGAAAAGAGCAATGTCTTCATGAAATCCATGCCATACACCGAAAGAAAATATATATAAATGTAGTTTGCAAACTGAATTTAATTCTGGCTTGCCTTCTACTTTTTATAATTTTTTTTCAGTGCTTTTTTCTCCCTTTATCCCTGCCAGACTGACTTGCAAAGGGTCACCGGAAACGGAAGCAGCCTGGGCTGGCTGGGAGACGCACTTTGCCTTAATTTATGGCAGCGCATTTTTATGACAGCACACACACACACAAAGAGTCGAGTGGCTGGGTGTGAGTTAGTGTGTGCGAGTGAGTGTGCAACGGTTAGACAAGTTTCAATTACACTTTTACAATTTCTCACATTTTAATCTGCGAGTTGCCGACGACGACGCCTTTTCGATGTTCTCACCGCGTCTTAGGCGTGTAAGTCGCTCCCTCATTGCCGCATCTCGGCATCTCATCTCGCAGATAAATGGTGGCCCATAAATCGTTGGCCACGCCCATTTATCTCGGACTCAACTAGCAGCCGGCGGGCAACGGCAGAGTCCGGAGTAGGAGCTGTGGCAGGGAAGGGAGAGGCCATCACTTACCTGATCGCCATCATAAGTCCAGGAGCCGAACTTCATGAAGCAGGTCTGCTGATCGAAGGGGAAGTAGCGGACATCAATCTCGCAGCTGGACTTGAAAATGGCCGGCGGGGTCCACACCACCTTGCCCGTGTAGTGGAGAATGGCCTTTGTCATGGTGGTGACCACATACTCGCCATCGGCACTGCACAGAAATTGTTGGAAGATAGTTTTAGAGGATTTTGGGAGGTCAACAAAGGAAAAGGATGACCCAAATATTCACTTAGGAATTTTATATTTAATTTAAAGTTTTTCAAGACTTTGATTGACTTTGCTTATTTTTAAAATAATATAAAATAAATAAAAGCCTAACTTAATTTCTTGAAGCCATAGTTTATATAGTTTTTCTCTGTCTGTAACATTTTTGGCTGACTTACTTATTGTAGAGCACAATGTCGGGTAGCCAGATGTGCTCGGAGGGCACATAAAGCTCCGTGACGCCGCCATACTCCGAGGGATCCCACTTGAATTTATGATCCTGCCACTCGTGCTCCAGCCACACGTTGGTCGTTAGAATTTGATCTTTGAGATTCTGTAAAAATAAAGCCCGCGAATATACGTAAATACTCTGGAAGCCGCAAAAAGTATAAGAGAAAGGAAAATGGAGTTCGGGGACTAAGGCCCAGCCATGCATCAAGGGGGATTTGCATTTTATTCATTTTTCCCTTCTTTTTTCCTGCCTCTCCTTTATATCATTTGCACTTCTCGTCCTGTCCCCCGGCTAATGTGCTTTTTGCTGTCAGCTTACGGCTTCCCTTTCTTTTTGGCTTGTTTTATTACCTTTTAAGCCTTCTGGTGGCACCGTTTCACCGCACTTCAACCGACCCGCCCAAAAAAAAATATATATATGTATATAAAGGAGCCCTGCAGCCGGAATTGCAGTCTCGGCCTGCTGACAAATGACTTGGCCGGGCAACTTTAAGCAAGCGCAGACAACCAAACATTCTCATTCCCATTCTTGGCTACAGTACTCTTCCCGGTCGCAGCATGTAATGAAATGTTGGAGTGAAATGTTATAAAAATCTAGTGCTCCCCGTGGCTGGAAGTTTTGAGAAATGCGAGCGATTTATCTGAAGGGGCAATGGGGGCAGTGGCGGGAAACCAGTGCTGACAGAAACGAAGCTGATGTTGCGAATTGAAATATGCCACTTTAATGCTCTGCATCCTACACAGGAAAAAATTGTAGATATTTTTGAAATTTAGCTAACGGAAAAATATTATAACAGGTTCGGTTTAGGGATATTATTAAGTTTTATGAACAAGTTTTATAAGTTTTATAAGATTAAATTTAATGCACATGGATTTTCTATGAGTAAAATGTTAAAAAGCTCAGATAATTTACAAGACAGTTAAAAGCAATTTTAAAAATATTAAATTAAATATTAAAGGGATTTTTTTTTTTTTTATATTTAAGTCTATGAAGACTTATTTAGTACTAATAGTGGAGATATTTTCATAATAAAATATATTTTAAATATTTCTGCCTGTGTGCACTTAAATTCATCCCCGCTTCATTATGACTTTATAGGTTTCTCGGTTGCCAGCTCTCTCGATTTGCCTCATTTGTTGCTGTTTATTGTTTAGCATTTTTTATTTACGACCCGCTGAAAGTTTCTGGCAACTTTTTCGCTTATCCCGCGGCAAATGTAGCGTAACGCCGGCAGCCTGGCCTTCGCCAAAGCTTAATTAAAAATTCCCCCGCGAACTTTTGGCAATTGCATTAATTGAATTGAGTTCGGATCGTCGCCCGCAAATTACAATTCACAATTTATAAAATTTATAATTTACAATTTAGCATTCACACTTACCAAATCAATTAGTTGGGATAGCCGGAGGCCCAGCTTGACCAGCACTGTGTCCGTGTTGTTGCTCACGGGGCGGATGAGCCGGTTGTAGTTACTGAGGAGATCATCGTACAGACGCTTGGCATCTGGATTGGCCTGCACCGTCTCGCAGAGGAGCAGCAGGACCAGGAGCAGGCATAGGAGCTTGCAGTGCCGCCACAGCGGCCCCAGGGGCAGGGGCAGCAGGTGAGCCAGTGTGCGTGGGCGTATGCAGCAGCCAGCCATGGTGACGTCACTGGTGTGGCAAGGAGGCCTTGACGGTCGGCCGGTGTTTTATTGATACAAACACGCGCACAGGTTTTTGTTTACCTTTCTGCCTCCTGGCTTGCCTGGCTGGGCTTGGGTTGGGTTGGGTTGGCTTGGGCCAGCCTCTGACGCAGTTCGCAGCGAGTGTTTGTATTTGGCTTTTAGCACATGGCCTAAAAGTGTTTACAAGTCTCCAAGTCGCGCTGGCCGCTTTTCGAGTCGGCGCACTGGCTCAGCAGCTGAAACCGCTGCGCCCATGCAGCTGATTTTGTTTTCGCAGCGGCCGCTTCGATTTATTTATTTTTATAAATTGAACTTAATTATTTTCACTCACTTATAGGTTGTCCCAAAAAATTGCAAATATTTTCCCGCTTCTCAACTAATTGTATATAATTTTTGTTTATTTTTCTGACCAGATTTTCACGCCTTTTTCTGCGGAGCTGCTTGGCTCTGCTCCGTGCTGTCCTGCATAGATATTCACAGGAATCGTACTGACGCGCGATTTGTTTTTGTAGCCTGGCCAGGACCTCTGTTTCGGCGGTTCCAGCCTCATTTTGTAGCTTTGTCGCTGGCGGATTTTTATCACAATGTGGATGCTGCGCAGCGCCTGCGCCCGGTGGCGCACCCCGTTTTCGGGAGAGCCATCCTATTACACACAGCAGCCGAGCTGAGCCAAGCCCTAGAAAAGAGAGTCCTTTTCAGTGATTTTGTAGGATTTTCCTCCTCGACCAGGACGACTCTCTGAGGAGCTCTTCTCTTCTGCAGAGCTAATCCCACCGAGGACGAGGACGACTCCATTACAACTTCAGCCAAGTTTGTTGGGTTTTCTCTTTTGGGCCGTGGATATTTTTTGGGCTCTCTCCCGCGATATTCCAACGAAACGAGCCACAGCCCAAAAAATTCCCCACAAATACTCCCAGCAGCAGCACACACTTACCCGAAAAGGAGAAGAACTCCACCCATGTACATGCTGCACATTTAGCAAGCACTCATATGCCCGCACCTCTCATCCTTGGCACATTTCGTTTAACCAGAAACCAAATTTTTCGTAATTGTCAACATTCGTTAAAATCCACGTTAACATGCACACACATTTGGCCAGCACACACACCCAGACACACCTATCAGCACTTGTGCACTTTGCATGTTTAACGTTGCAATGCTGGCTCTACTTTTTGGTCTGGTTTGGTTCGGTTTTTGGTTTCGTTTCGTTTCGTTTGGTATTTGCCATGTCTGTTCACATATGTGTCATATTGCGATTTTGAGTTGTTTCTGTGGTTTCGTTTGGGTTTCTGCCGCACACGTACATATACATACACCAACTCCCGCCCAGATCTATGTTGTGCTGGGTGGGTTACGGCATTCCCCCTCACTTGTGCATCGCCAGTAATGTGCCAGCCACAATGATGACAACCAGCCGGAGCCAGCGATATCCCAGCAACCCCGGTCCCGCACTGACAGGCAAATTTAATTACTGAATATGATTGAATTTACCAGCGTTTTTTGCTCGTTAATTGAAATTTGCAAGTTTTCAGCGCTTTCGGTTTGAGTTAGCATCGCTCTTCGCTGGTCAAAGCCTTTTTCCATCTCCTCTATTTGATTCCATATTTGATTGGCTGATTTAAGGCCATATTTGAATTTATTTTTTTTATGTTAAACTTATGCACAAGTGAAAACTTTTCTAAAGAAAATCATAGCTTTCAACAGAACTTGGCAAAAAATCAGGGAGTATAAGAAAGGCTAGATCTAATCGACTGATGATTCTATAATAAGTTACAGGGTCAGAGAGGCCTACTGCTATGCTTTGCCAACTTCTGTCAAAATTTTTAATATCCTGCAATGGCACAACTTTGGTTTCTGTACTCCTTCGGAGCCATTTTGGCCAACAACAACTGCCGCTGTACGAACTTTGGCTGAAGCAACCCCGACTGAAACCCATTTGGCTTAGTGTTTTGTGTCCTGTTGGTCAGTGTTGGCCCTTCGTCCTGGCGAAGCCATAATGATACATGAACTCTGTCATTTGGCCGTGCCGCCATTGAGCCGCGTGTGTTTTATGGCTTACGGTCATTGAAGGCATTTTTGGCTGCTCTTTTACTTTTTTTTTTATATATATATATATATATATTATTTTTTTTTTTTTTGCCAAATTGGTCGCATCAGCATTTTCACTTCTGTTGGGGAAAAAAAAAATACAAAAAACATTCAATGAGCAATTTATGCGCCTGCTGCCGGGACAACTTTAATCTAGTCTATTAGCTGCTTTATTGCTGTTTTTGTGGCCACCCTTTTTATTTATTTCCTTTGTTTGAGCCTCATTTGAATGAGCTGCTGATACGGCCGCTACAGTTGTTATTGCTTTCATTAGCCAACCTATTCCCCGAAAATGTTTGGATGTTTGTGGGCTCCGAATGGAGGAATCCTCATGTTTTATTGCTACCCACACTCGGCACACACACTTCTGCACATAACAAAGCAATCAAAATTACAACAACCACCGTTTGCCACAATAGCAAACAACAATTTTTAGCTTGTTTGCAACTCAAACTTTTATTTTTATTTCTTTTTTTTCTTTTTACTATTTCGATGTTGTTGTTGTTGGCTTTTTCGGTATTGCGGTCTTTTAGCAACAACAGCTGGAAAAGTTTTGTTTTGTGCACTTTCCCTGGTAAGTCAACAACCGAAATGGGTCGGCAGAGAATTGACTTTGATATACTCTATATATTTACGTACATATATAGGTATGTTGCGAGGTGCATCCTTCAAGTCCTATGAAATTAAATCTTTGATGTTGAATTTTTAAATTGCTTTTACTTTACAGTTTCAGTGCATAAGTTAACAAAACATTTTCGATAACAAAGCCCCCATCGCCTTAGCAGTCGGCCAGGGAAAAGTTGAGCCCCAACACCTGACTTTGTGACTCTCGACTGGGTCCTGAACCCAACCCTTTGGAGCCACGCTTCCTGATTGCAAGAAAACTCAATTAAAATTTAAATTTTCGAACGTAAATGACAAAAGTTTGCCAACTATAAATAATCGGCAGTCGCTCCACTTGGCTTGCTCTTGGTTTTTGGCTTTGCCACTTCAAAATCTGACAAAGCCGCGACCAGAGACCCAGTATCAGCCCCCCTTTCGGCCCCGCCCCTCTATTGGCGCCCTCCCTCTCCATAAAGTGCGTGCGTGGCTGCGTGATCGAAAGTTTTTGTCTATATTCGTACAATTTATCTAACTTTTATGGCAGCCACAGCAGCAGCAGCAGCAGCGCGGCAACAACAAACGTTTTCCTGCTTTTGGCCAGAAATTAATTGCAAAACTGTTTGGTGTCTATATATATATATCTAAAGAGAACTGAACTGTCAGATATGTATATGCACAGGAAAGAAAATAGTTATAAAAGTATGTTCTTAGTTAATAATAATAATAATAATAAATATAAGTACATTTAAAATTATACTTGAATATGTTTCAGTGAAACCTCTATTGTAAAGTTAGTTTTTAATTTCTGTTAGAAAATAAATTACCTAATTAAGTGGACATTAAACACCAATTTCTGTCAGTGTTTAAACTATATGTGTGAGTTTGGTGGCTTGTTTTTTGGCCATGGCAGGCCAATCACAATGAGCGCTCGTTCGCCTGCCACTTGAACAACATAAAACTGATTGCGAAAATCTGTCCCGCGCAACCCTCTCCAAAGAAAGGGCAAAAAATTTGTCTGCCGCGGGGGCGGGGCAGGGGGACGAAGGGTCTATTTGGTGCCAGCACAGTCCTTTGTTCATCAATTCGAGGCTGCTGCGCTTGTCGTGCCCATTGTTGACACGCTTAAGTGCCGTTTGCTTTTATCAGCACTGTCCATATCGACAGGGGACAGGACAGTCGCCGGTCGACGACAGGCGATGAGCGGCCAGCAACCTGCATACAGCATTTTTATAACATTTTTAATTGTTTTTGTCGACTCTGTGAATCGTGCAAACTCCGCTGTTCCCATCAATTTAATGGCATTTTCGCGTGAGTCGCGCCAAAAAACGAGAAACCAGTGGCCCAAGGAAATCAAAGTCAGGCAAAGGCGAAAACACTCTGTGGTCCTTGGATTCCTGGATGCTTGGTCCTTGGATGCTTGGTCCTTGGTCCTCGGTCCTCAGTCGGTCAATTAATGAAGATACCGGTTTTATGATGAGCGGTGACAAGTCGTGTTGAAAATGGAGGCGCATTACACGCCCATTGGTGGCGTGTTTATGGCGCCGTGAAATTTCCGCTCCACATAAAATGTTGCATAGTTTTTGGCCCGCTAAGCGGATGTCATTAATTGCGCATTAGTTTTGTTTTCTGTTCTCCATGGGCCGTGTGAATTTTGCTTTCGCGAATCAAAGGGAATTCGAGTGCAAACGAGGCGTATGCGCAATCTAATTTGCCATTTGCGTTTTTGGGCGTGTGGGGTGAGAGATTGTATATCTGGGTGTGGATGTAAGTGCGGGTTCTCGAGATGATAAGTTGGCGGTGCTCGTACTTGAATCGCTGCTCGGCTGGCTTAACTTGATTCTCTGACTGCGTATGTGATTAGGATTTAAGTTCCGTCAAACGCCGACTGCCGCCCGTCGAGCAGTCAACAAAGTTTCGGCCTGGCCAAGCGCTCGAGGCAGCGGCAAATAATATTATATTATTATTATTATTATTATAATATTTTGCAGCAGTTCCAGCAGCTGCCACGCCCAGCAGCTCAAGCTCACGTACACGCCCAACCGTTTCAACAAAGCGGCTGAAAGAGCGAGTTGCCTGCACTGAAAACAACTAGGGGAACAGAATAAAAATGGAAAATAAATTATGACAGATAATATATAAAATTTGGATTTTTACATTTTACATTACATTTTAAATTCATTATCTTTAAAATAAATATCTTAATAATGGTAAGGAATTCTTCTTATCCCGAAACTATATGTTTAACAATTTCCTATTCATAAGTTGTTAACTCTGATTTGTTTTTCTTAGTGTACCGGAGTTTGACTGACGCAGAGTCATCAGGCTTCTGACTTAACAACTTTGCACTGACAAGTTTCGCTGTCTCGCTTTGAGAGCGCCTTTTACTATGAATACTTTGTCAAGTTTTTGCTCCAGGACTCAGGACCCAGCAGCTCGGCTCATTGTCATTGTCATCAGCAGCACTTCTGGCGCCTCGCCTCCTGTGCGAATTTCCCGGCTTGCGATTTGCCAAAGTCAGTGCAAAACATGCAAACTAAATTAACTGTTACAAATGTGTGGGGGGGGCAGTGGAAAGAGGTGTGCAAATGATTTTACGGCTGAAAATCGGGCCAGGAAGAAGTTGCACAGATTTTATTTTGCCAAGGCGAAGTATCTATCTTTGTCTAAGTCAATTTTGACATAAAATCAACAATTTGTCACACTTGCTTCATTATCCTGGGAATATTGTGGAGCTCGGACCAGCTCCAGCTTTAGCTCCCATCCGGCAACTTCT